AGATCTCTAGTCAATTATTTATTTTTGTTACGTTATATTAGAACTGTTTTCTACAGTAAGAACAAATCTCGACATAACAGTTAGTAGTAAAAATATATAACTGAATCAAAATGTAGATTTGTATTTCAAATTTTTTTATAGTTGATTTAATAACTTGATCTTTGTTGACAAGTGTGTATGCCGGCTTAAGAGCTCAGCTTCTATAAATCTATTCAAAATTTGTAACTTGTATAGGTATAGAGCTTAAAAGCTCAGAGCAATTTAAAAGCGTGCTTCTTTTTCATCGATTTTTTACTGTTTCTCACCAAGGTCATTTTACTTTGCTTCTTTCACTTTCTTGATCTTTACATCGACCACCTTTATCTTTTTTAGATTTTTTTTCTTGGCCAAACTGTTAATCAGCTTCCCAATCTTTCCTTCTCATCATTATGACATAACATTGTCATATCATGAACTAGTCTCTTCTGACCTTTCAAGCCCCATTCAATGTTGAAAACTTAATCTTTAAATGAAAGCTATGCCAATTAACCATATAACATATTGACTAGGTCAACCTAATATCAAATTGAAAGCTGAAGGCACATTACCATAATAAATTCATTAACTGATGTGATACTATTGGCTCATTATCCAATGTGATTGACAGCTAGATTATTTTTTTACCAGTACTTGTTCATTCTCGAAATTGATCAATGTAGTAGTAAATGGCTTCAACATTTTTTCTCTGATTCCCATTATCAACATTCTGATATAATACAAAACATCAATCGAGCTCTCACTATCAAATAGAATCTTTATTACCACATAATTATATATAACAATAGTAACTATGATAGCATCATCATGTGAGAATTGAATTTCTTCTATGTTTTTCATCATGAAAGAGATTGGCTTATCTTTTCAACTCTTCTTTTTTTGTTAAGAACCTTATAGCCATGATCATTTCTTCGTCATTTTTTTTGCCTGACGTAAAACTTTTCCAGTAATCACATTAATTATGCCTACAATGAGCCTGTTATCTATGGCTCAGCCTTCATTTTTTGCTTGTTTCTTTTACTTCTATCACCTTAGTTTCTATTTAATTTGTCCTCTGATTTTTTACTAGCTTTTCTCTGTGATCCATCTTTCCGTAGTCTTGCCTACCTTGACCCTGTCTTCATTATTTCACAAACATTTTGAGCCAACTTTTCATGATCAAACTTTTTATCTCATTTTTCAGATCCGCACAATTTTTAGTATTGTAGTCGAAGTCTCTATGAAACTCACATATTTTGTTGTGGTCTTGACATGTGTTTTACCTCATTAGCTTTAATCATTTGAGCTCAGGATCTTTTTCAATTTACATCAAATCTTTTCTTTAGAAGTATTTAATACAGTGTAGCTCCATGCTAGCTTGGACTCCTAGCCTTAGGGTACTCTTATTGTCCTCTTCTTAAGTGAGGATCGTAGATCTTATTACCTTTTTTTCAATCGAGAAGAAGGGATAAGCCTTTCTTATCATGATTTTTTATTGTAGCTTCAACATTGATGTATTTTTTCATAACAAGTAGCATGTCAACTAATGTCTTTAGCTATTCAAGAGAGTATATAAGTTTCAAGTGGTACTCTCAATCATTAAGTTTATTAATGATGGCAACTACTGCGATCGTTTGCTCTAGGTCTTTCACTTGTAGAGCTTTTGCATTAAAACACCTAACATAGTCTTTTAGAGACTTATTTCTGCCTTGATGGATAGACATCAGGCTTAGGGTGATTTTTTAAAATTTTTTTGTTATTGATGAATTTTGACAAAAAAGAATGGTTAAGCTTTTTTAAGATAGTAATGAACCTCGATTTCAGACTAAAATACTAGGATTGAACTACTCCTATGAGGGTCATGACCAAACTTTTGCACATAAGAGCCTCATCTTTACCCTTTATCATCATAGTAGTCTGATAAAACTCTAAATGATTAAAAGATTTGAGGTATCATCATAGGTCTCCAAGGTCAACATCTTAAACCCTTTCAGAGGCATGATTTAGACAATTTCCTCGGTAAAAGCAAGGTTTCCAAGAATTTTAGCTCGTCTTCAAAATATGTGATTTTTCTTTTTGGTTCTTTTTCCATAGCTTACATTCCGACTTCCAAATCTTTGTTTGGCTGGGGATGCAAGTCAGCCTATTTGAATTTTTGTGTGGTTTCATGGGTAGAGTTATGGCTAGGATAATGATGATGGGTAGTTGAAATGGCATGTTCCTTTTCCCTAAAGGCTGAAGAAGCCTCAACTTTCTCATAGCTTGGTTATCTTTCTATTGGTTGTCTACCAGGGTGACTAGGTTGAGAACTTTTGAGACTTGGGGTGGTGTTATGCTTTGGAGCATCTATTTTAGGGCTTGAATTTTTTTTTATCAAAGCTTGGAATTGTTCCATAGTTGATCTCACTTGTGCCAAGGCAAGTTGATCCGTGGCTTGGCTGTTATGGGTTTCAATCCTGTTAGGACAATTAGCTTTCATTCCTCATTGGCTGTTTTTCTTAGTGGTATAATGTTTAGCTCAGTTAGGAAATATAACCTTAACCTAGCGCATAAAATATTTGTACCGAGCTCCGAGCCAAAGGTAAAAACTTTGAAATCACACAAGAGAAAGAGAACAATTAAGAGTACATGCAGAGAGTGTTTCTTATGTTTACACTTCGATGCTCAAGTCAGATATCGGAATAAAGTAGGTCAATAAGATAGGAAAATAGGAAAATAAAAGAAATAATCAAATTGATAGATAGTAACTAGATGACTCTATTTATAAGTGAAATATGATGGCTCTATGAGTAAAATAATGATGTAGTCGAGCTATTATAATACTATACATGATAGGTTAAGCCAAAAATTGAAAATATCTCTGGTTGTCTATTAATAGTCTTTAATGAAGAAAAATATCAATTTACCTTTTGAATCAAAAAATACCCTAACACCTTTCTTTCATTTCTTTTCATATCTATTTTTTTTTAATTTTGTACCTTTTTTATTCATTTTCAATTTTTAATTTTTTTAAAAAATTTCTTTTATTTTTAATGAAATTGTGTGACTTATGTGTCCAATACATTTTTTTCATTTTTTAATTTTATTTTATCTTTTCTTTCATTTCTTTTTATCTTATCAAATATTTTTTTATTTTTTATTTTTCATATTTTTTTATATGTAATTTTCATTTTTTTAACTTCATTTTCCTTCATCTCTCTTTCTAAATTCTTTCATTATCTCACACTTCTCCTAAAAAAAAAAAAAAAATCATGTCAGTGAAACGAGAGGTATTTTGCTAATGTCGAAGACCAATAGGGATATGTACTTATAATCTTATGTCTACCTTTAATTTATTTTTAAAAAAAATATTTTAAATATTTATTTTTTAAAAAAATATACTTATATTTATTTATATTTTATTATCTATTAAAATTTAATTAAAAAATTAAAACATAATTAAAAAAAAAACTAGGTTTGAAACGTTCTAGTATTATTTAATGTTTATATATTTTTAAGTATTTATTTTATAATATAATTATAAATATAAAACATAAAAATAATATCGATCCGACTGTGCCGAATCTTCAACCTTATATTCAATGTCAAACCTATTTTTTAAATAAACCCTCAATTTAAGTGAAAATTTATTTAGCAGATCTAATATTTATAATCAAAATTTTAAATTAATTTTTATTCGGTTGATAACCCATTTTTGAAAGGAAAAGATCATATAAAATTATTATTTCAAGTTAGCATATATCATTTTTATTTAAATTATATTACATAATTATTTATTATACATTATATATAATAATTAAATGATAAATATTTAGTTTAATAAATTTAAATGTAATATATAATAAATGATTAATTTTTTAATAAGTTGTTTGGAAAAATCGTTCCATATTAGTCTTTATCGAATGTGAATAGGTCTAACTAAAAGGAGAGAGAAAAAGTAAAACTTCAATCTTTTTCCTCCCTCTTCACGCCTTCCATTCCATGCAACATGCATGCCCACAGAGGCACAGACACAGTATTTACATACATCATGATGCATCTGTTACACTCATACATACATCATGATGCCAATGTATGATTCACACATACATACATAAAGCATATGCATGCATGCATCACAATTCAGATAGGATAGATCATATAGGATAGGATAAGACTAACCAAACAAGCGGCAGATGAGAAATAAAGTACTGAATACTGATATTACAGTGATGCTGGAAAGAGAAAGAGGCTATTTCACTTCATTTTCTGTACCATAAAAATCTTTTTCATTTTTTACAGTGAATTTTTTAAACAAAAAAAAAGACTAAAACATTCCTAAACAGTCAATATTTATGCTTATTATTATGAATAAATAAAAACAAATCAGCCTGTCATTTATTTTTTTGTGTGCTTTATTACAGGCAGGTACAATGCTAATTTTTTGTTAAAAGTTTCATTCGATTTAATGTTATAAAGTTGTATGATAATTTAAAATATGATATATAATAATTATTATAATAATATAAAAATAATATATATAAATTTAATAAAAATAAAAATATATTTTATATTTATTATATTGATATAAATTATAATATAATAAATTTTATATTTTATATAAGTAATTGATTTAAATGATAAATTAAAATGTTTATTTATATATCAAAAATTAAAAAATAAAGAAATTTTAACAAAAAATTTCTTCTAAATATTTTAAAACATTTTAAAAAATATTTTTATCCATAAAATTAATCAATATATCAATAATTTTTATTTATTTAATAAATGAATATTTTTAAAAAATTCTGAATTTTATTATTTTATACTTATTCATATGAAATAAAAATACAAGATAGCATGATTTTGTTTTAAGCATTGGTTTAAGGGACCAAAAAAAAAAGGAAAAGCGAATAGCGGACATGGCCTTTTCAATTTCATTAGGCATTGGCTGTTTCATTGTCTGTCTGCTTTCTCTGTCACATAATAATATATTTTCTATTTTCATTTATACAAAAAAGCACAACACAGTCTCACTCTGTTGCTTTCTTTCTCTGTCCATTTCTGTGGGTTGGTTTTGTTTATCTCAGGACTTTCTGTTTCAATCGAGCCTATCACACTCTATCTAAAGTATCTCGAGATTGGCGTCTAAGATAAAGACCACAGGACTGTGTGCTTGAAAGAGAAAAACCATACGACAAAAAAACCTCCATTATCTGATGAAGGAGAGATGAGGCTCTCCTGGAGGAGAGAGCCTGCCTGTGATTGTGAAAACTACCGCCATCGCCGCCAACCAAGGAAAAGGAGATAAAAAACCATATCCAAAGCAACAAACTTTGTTCTAAGAGAGCTACTCCCCCATTTACGTTTTCTGCCAAAGAAGAGAAATCAACAGTAAAAAATTCAGTGTGGGTGCGTCTTGTTTTTGGTGATCTCTTCATTTTAAGTGTTTTTTTATGTGAAAAAAATGGCACTTGCCATGCACAAAGAGTCACTGAGTAACAAGCAGATGGATAGCAGCAAGTATGTGAGGTATACGCCCGAGCAAGTTGAGGCTCTGGAAAGAGTATACAGTGAATGCCCAAAGCCTAGCTCTTTGAGAAGGCAGCAGCTCATTCGGGAGTGTCCTATTCTCTCCAACATTGAGCCTAAACAAATCAAAGTCTGGTTTCAGAACCGCAGGTTACTTTAACCCCTGTGCCTTTCTTCTATTTACCTTCCCAGTTCTCATTCATTTATTCAATCAGTTCGCTAAAATCTGGTTCTCTTTTTGAAAAGATGCCGTGAAAAGCAGAGGAAGGAAGCTTCCCGGCTCCAGACAGTGAATAGAAAGCTGACTGCCATGAATAAGCTGTTGATGGAAGAGAATGACCGATTACAGAAGCAGGTCTCCCATCTGGTCTACGAGAATGGATACATGAGGCAGCAAGTGCAGACCGTGAGCATTTCTTCTAACTCTGTTTTGTAGTTCCAGTGGTTTGAAATGTCTGCATTATCAGTGATATGTCATGCTCTTGATGTCTTGTTTATGTCAAAACTTTCTATGAAACGTTTATTCGACTTCCGACATTTACATGCAAAATCAATGTACTTGAAAATTTTTCTTACTTTTAAGATTCTGAACAGGCTTCTGTAACGACCACAGACAATAATAGCTGTGAGTCTGTGGTCATGAGTGGTCAGCACCAACGACAGCAAAACCCAACACCTCAGCACCCCCAAAGGGATGCTAACAACCCAGCTGGGTAAGTAGAGGGTGTCTTTTTGAGCTCAAACATGAATTTGTAATTTCTAATTGGTCTCATTGTTAATGAACTTTGTTTTCTATTTGCTAGTCTACTCGCAATAGCTGAGGAGACCCTGGCAGAGTTCCTTTCTAAGGCAACTGGAACTGCTGTCGACTGGGTCCAGATGATTGGGATGAAGGTACAGCTCATTAAAGTGCTCTTTGTTTTTCTATGTATGTAATTGTGCATTACCATGAAACTTTACCTGTGCATCTCTTACTTATTTGCTGGATATTTGTGTTTCCCTATTAGTTTGAAAATTTAACTTCACTATTTTTATTGTGTAGCCTGGTCCGGATTCTATTGGTATTGTTGCTGTTTCCCGCAACTGTAGTGGGTTAGCAGCACGAGCTTGCGGTCTTGTGAGTCTTGAGCCCACAAAGGTAACAATCCTCCCAAAAAATTCTAAACAGTTGTGGCTAATGTATGTAAATTTTTGAAGTGTATGATGGATCTCATTTCAGGTCGCAGAAATCCTCAAAGATCGTCCATCTTGGTTTCGTGACTGCCGATGCGTTGACGTATTGAGTATAATTCCTACAGGAAATGGTGGAACAATTGAGCTCATCTATATGCAAGTATGCTATTGTAGATAACTAGATATTGCAATTCGAAGCAAGCCATGATTTACTTAATTTTTGGACTTGGCTAATCTTCTGAATCTATTATTTACCAGACCTATGCACCTACAACATTGGCTGCAGCACGAGACTTTTGGACTCTGAGATATAGTACAAGTTTAGAAGATGGCAGTCTCGTGGTAATTTATATACTGGTTCAAGTAATTTCCTTTATGTTTCTCCTTTTTTGGCAGGATTGAATTCTGCTAAATTATAAGCTCATTCTTGATGGCCCATGTTACCCTTCATTTCTTAGTGAAATAGCCTTGCCCTATGTTGTGTTCTGTTAGGATCTCTTCCACTTAGCTCCTTAGGGAGTTGGAAATGCTAACAGAAGTTTCACACGTTTTAAGTTTGCATAGATGGCAGAAGTTTTTGTAATTGATGAGATGTTAAACATGCATTAGGAGATTGATGTTAAGATTTCTCCATCTGCATGTTTGTTTAATCCTCAATGTTTAACGTGATCTTTAACATGTTTGCTTGTTCATAATTATGTGCAGATATGTGAAAGGTCGTTAACATCTTCTACTGGTGGCCCTACAGGGCCTCCTACTTCAAGTTTTGTCAGAGCTGAAATGCTTCCTAGTGGCTTTCTAATCAGACCTTGTGAGGGTGGTGGCTCCATTATTCATATTGTTGATCATGTTGATTTAGATGTGAGGACATGGGTTAATAATTTTAGCTTTTTAGTAACTGAAAATTTATTTATTTAGTTGCCTTACTATTTTTTGTACCCCTTTATACGTTAGGTTTGGAGTGTTCCTGAAGTTCTCAGGCCACTATATGAGTCATCCAAAATACTTGCTCAGAAAGTGACCATTGCTGTAAGTACATGATCAGAATCATACTTAATTTGTCAACCTTTCTTGTTTGGTTTTATCTTATTTTCTATCATCCAGGCCTTGCGGCATATACGGCAAATTGCACAAGAGACAAGTGGAGAAATTCAATATGGTGGTGGTCGTCAACCTGCTGTTTTAAGGACGTTTAGTCAGAGACTTTGCAGGTGAGGCGTTGACCATAGTATCAAGACACCTGCGCAATGAATTTAGCACTGTATGCATTAGAGTTTTGTGTGAACAAGTCTAATAGACTGGACAAAAAGTTGAAAAGTTTCAATTTTTCCTGATCTTTGTATGTCAAAATGGAGGTTGTATTTAATTTTTCTTTTCTATCCTTTGTTGATTGTTGCTCAAAATGATATTAGGGGCTTTAATGATGCGGTGAATGGGTTTATGGATGATGGTTGGTCGCTCATGGGTGGTGATGGTGTTGAAGATGTGACCATCATGATAAACTCATCCCCAGGCAAATTTCTTGGGTCTCAATACAACACGTTCCCTTCTTTTGGGGGAGGTGTACTATGTGCCAAGGCATCCATGCTGCTTCAGGTGTTTTCCTAGATGCCAAATACCATAAGGGAATATTTTTTTTTTTTATTGCATTTGCTGTATGCTATATCATTAGGCCTTACAGTAGATTAACTTGTAAATCTGGTAATATGGATCTGCAGAATGTTCCTCCTGCATTGCTTGTTCGCTTTTTGAGGGAGCATCGTTCAGAGTGGGCTGATTATGGAGTTGATACGTACTCTGCAGCTTGTCTTAAAGCTAGCCCTTACGCAGTTCCTTGCACAAGACCTGGTGGCTTCCCTTGTAGCCAGGTCATTCTGCCTCTTGCCCATACTGTGGAACATGAAGAGGTGATAATTCTCATCCATCATTGTTCAGTTACCATTAATTCTATTTGCTCAGTTTTCTGTTCAATTTTTATTCTCTGCTATAGTTACTGGAAGTTGTTCGTCTAGAAGGCCATGCATTCACCCCAGAAGATGTAGCGCTGGCACGGGATATGTACTTATTACAGGTTAGTTTAGTGTTTATCTTAAATTGTGCTCATTCGCTCTTGGACAGGAATCTTTATCGCTGGTTTTTCCCTCACCATTTCTAAAATATGTTGTGGCAGCTATGCAGTGGGATTGATGAAAATGCAGTTGATGCGTGTGCACAACTTGTCTTTGCACCTATTGATGAATCCTTTGCTGATGATGCTCCATTGCTGCCATCTGGATTTCGAGTCATACCTTTGTATCCCAAGACAGTCACGGTGATATGTCAACCTAGTGCTTGAGATTTTTGATTGCATGCTTGTACTTGCAAGTTTTCTGAAAAAAAAAAAAAATCTTCGTTGAAGAGAATTCATTTTTACTCGAGATTTTGTAAATTGATTGTAATCAATTGGATTTGCTTGGAACTTATACAAATTGGTTTCCCCTTGTAAAGAATTGCTCATTTATTATTTTGATTAACTAATTTACCTATTACTTAATACTAAAATCATAATTAGCTAGTAAAATACGACTACTGCAAAACACAGCCTCTGAATGATTTGAGTAGTTTTGGGTTTCAAAAGTTGGATTTGTTGGCAGGTCTGTAATATTCACTCCGCGTCCCCTTTTTGGTTAGACTTGAGTAAATACTGTAAATGTATATTATTTTTTCAGAATAAGCTGTAGGATTCTTAAGTCTGTGTGCTTCCTACAACAAAGAATTCTGTGAACTAATTCCTCTATTTTGTCTGCAACTTTTTATTCCAGGATGGACCTGGAGCCACTCGGACATTGGATTTGGCTTCTACACTTGAAGTGGGCCCTGGTAGCAACCGTACAGCTGGTGATGGTCAGCCAAACAATTATAACCTTAGATCTGTTTTGACCATTGCATTCCAATTCACTTTTGAGAACCACTTGAGGGACAATGTGGCTGCTATGGCTCGTCAATATGTGCGTAGTGTTGTGGGATCTGTTCAAAGGGTTGCCATGGCTATTAGCCCATCCCGTCTTAGCTCTGATATGGGACTGAAACCCCTGCCTGGTTCTCCTGAGGCTCTTACTTTGGCACGTTGGATTTGTCGAAGCTACAGGTATGACTTTGATTTTATGCTTTATTGTTTTGTTGGTTTTAACCTTACCCAATAGAGGCTCTGAGTTTTGACTGTATCCAAATTTGTCATACATTGTCGAAATTGCATTATTGCATTGTTACTGAGTTATGTTGGAGGTACTGGCTGTGGACATTTATATTTCACAAGATCAGTGTTAATGGAATGTATTAACGAACCGTGATGAGTTTATTTCATTTCAATAAAAGAGTGGATGAATCACAAGAAATTGTTGACCATATTCATGACAATGTGCCTAACTATTTTTTATTAAGATGGAAGGGAAAAATAACAAGTGTTCCATCCTCTTTCTTTAGAACTTAGTCTCTCTTGATGGACTGAGTGTAATAAGAATGGTAATTGTATGGTTCGTTTCAGAGCTCATACCGGAGGAGAACTCCTACGAGTAGATTCACAAGCTGGTGATGCTTTACTGAAGCAACTGTGGCACCATTCAGATGCAATAATGTGCTGTTCATTGAAAACAAATGTAATGAACATTCTCCTTTTGAATTTTAATGCATTCATATTAACTATGGCATCATTTGGATGCAATAATGTGCTGTTCATAGATTCACAAACTCTTATAATGCTTGGTTCTAGTGAAACTATAACACAATTGGTGGAATTTTATTGCAGGCATCTCCAGTTTTCACCTTTGCAAACCAGGTTGGGCTTGATATGCTTGAAACTACTTTAGTGGCCCTTCAAGACATAATGTTGGACAAGATACTTGATGAAGCTGGCCGAAAGATTCTCTGTTCGGAGTTCTCAAAGATTATGCAACAGGTAAATTTTTCAACAAGTGGATTATGAGGCTCTGACATTGAATTTCTTAACAATAATAGTTGAACCTGATTCCTAACTGGCAGTCCCCTAGAAGCTGCAAGTGTTAAATGTGGTGCTGAAGTTTTGAAATGCATTTTAAACTACATAAACAAGTTCGACATTTGATTGGAAATTAATCTAGGATTCAGATTGGAAACTGTTCTGGTGCACAGTCCTGAACATGTACACTTTCATGGAACTGCCTTGACTCCTTTTCTGCTTTTATTAGGATTTGCATAACAAAATGACTCTGGCTTGTCTAAGTCATTGAGAAACTTTCCATGTTTTTCTTTGGCAATGAAAGAAATTTCTCTAATGTACTATATTATTTCTAATTGCAGGGGTTTGCCTATCTCCCAGCAGGGATATGTGTATCTAGTATGGGAAGGCCAGTGTCATATGAGCAGGCCATTGCATGGAAGGTTCTCGATGACGACGGGGTGAATCACTGCCTTGCCTTGATGTTCATAAATTGGTCTTTTGTGTGAGTGATCTAGTAGATGTATGGAAGAATTAACTTTTAGGTATCTATCTTTTAAGTTATATATTTGGTTTTAGTACTTAAGAAGATGATTATGATATTATGAATGAAGATATTGGCAGGAGGATATCATGAATGCTTGTGTCTTTATGTGAATGGTTAGATGTTTGATTGATGATGATATTCTTCTTTATCTTTATCCATCTGATGTCCGTGTGAGAGTTGGTTGGATCTCATTTCTCAATCAAATTGGATAATGTTGGGAGTGGGACCTACCTGCTGTTAGGTTTGTTGGCCTGGTTTGGTCCAAATTTCCATATTTTTTCTGTTGGAATGTGTCATTTCCCCATTTATGCAAATCTATAGATAGAAATTTCTTTCAAGTTAGGAGGATAATCGTGTTATGCAAACGGTGGTGTGATATCATTTTGCCAGATTCTAAGATTGGCACGTATGAAAACATGGGTTTAAACCTACTAGACCTATAAGATAGAGGAAATCTCGCGGGGTTAGGGATGATGACAATAGAAAAAGTCAAATCTTTATAGGCTTTTCAGCCTACTGCCAAAGAAAGAAAGAACGAACAAACAGTATCATGAAAGAAGCAGCAGGATTGTTTACAGGAGGCCATTTATGTGATGGAAGGAACAAACATATATAACTACACACATATATATATATATATAGATACGTTGACACATTAGCTACAGTATAACGTATTTAGTAAAAATACTGCATCAATTGATCATCATGCATTCAAGGCTTCATGTAGAATGCATCACACATACATGAACATGATGATGTAATAGTTAGGGGTGAGACAGTAGTAGATGTTTAAGAGGGGGGGGGGTGACCCTTTTCCAGCGTTTGAAACTCGAGGCATTCTTTAAAGTTGAGTGCGAAAGGCACTGTATTTTCGAGCCTCGTGCATGCTGCTGTTGCTGCTGTGCATGCCTGATTGCCTATGCCTATGGCCCTCTTCCTCTCTCTGTTTATCGTGAAAATTTTTCACTTTGCCTTTTCTTTTCAGCACAATAACTCATCAGTTTGCTTTTAGTTTTGGAACCTTTTGATGAATTACATTTTCCCACTCTCTATATATTAGTATAATATTATTCCTCACAACAAAACCCCAAAAATTTTTTTAAACTCCACATTAAAGTGCAAAGATCTCCAGCTTTAATTTTGGAAACCCGAGGGAAAGTAAACAGACAGCACTGAAAACTTTATTTAAAAAAGAAAAGAAGGAAATAGGAAATCCCATCTCCCCAGCGGTTTCTTCTTTTCTTTTCCAATGGTTTTTTACAGTATCTGTGGAAGAAAGAGATCTTTACTATTGCTGCTGTCCCCTGGCATGCAACGCTTTGTATTTTTTTTTTTTTTTCAGACTTGGATACTTAGTAGTAAACAAGTAATATTTATTTGGGTAAATGACATACAAATCCTTAAGGTTTGAGCTTAATTTTCCTTTAGGACAAATACAACATAAGCAGAAGGGTTTCAAACAAAAAGAAGTTTAAAAGATCATTTATTTTTCATCCAACATGGCTTAAAGTCCTTATTTATATTAACACCTAAAATTCTTAGAAACAGTTGTCAAAAATGTTAAGAATATATCCTCAAATTTTATAATAGTTTTGTTAAAAATTAATTAAATATTATTTGATAGATAAAAAGATTTGTAGAAGAATAATTTAACAAAAAAATTATTATTGATAGGAAAGTATATATGTTTATAAATAGATAAAGTCTTTATATGATTAAGTATAAGAAAAAAAAATAAAAAAATTGTAAGATAAAATGGTATAATTACCTCATAAAATTACTGAAGATTTATATTTTATGGATGTGTATGTTTGTATATTTGTGAGTAGAAGAGATTTATATTTTATGGATGTGTATGTTTGTATATGTCATATATATATATATATATAATGTATAAATATATATATGTGTGTTTATTTAAGTTAAAAATATTTTATAAGATTAATGAAAATTGAAAAACTCTGAGTATTGGTTATAAATGTTTGATTTAATTATATATTTGTAATTTTTTATAAATAGTAAATTTTATTTCTCATCCATAAACGTTAAATTAATGTTTCTTAATTAATTGATCAATTTTTTATTTTATTTTTGCTTGTATGATTAAATTAAAACTTTTTATCTTACAAAAACATCATCTAAATCACCTCGACAATAGCCAAGAAACCCCCGAAACTAACATAAATTTTCTTATGGTGTATAAACTTTTGTGGATCATTTTCACAAATACTCAATTTAATAAGTTTAAGTAGCATTGATGATGTCTTATATGAGAGAAAAAAATGCATCATAAGCTCTTTATTTTCATTTTACGCTGTCCTTGTAACCGAATACTAAAATTATACAAAGAGTGTTATTTTTCTTGTACAAATTAGACATGTGAATGGGTATTTATGTAAATTTACAACTTTTGTCACCACCTGTAGCAGCAATGGAGCACATTTTCCAATTTAATTTGCCCTATTATAAGGGGTTTTTAAAAATAAAATTAGTGCTCTAAATCAGAACAAAATATATTATATTTATTATTTTAATAATAATAATAATAAATTATGCATTTAAAATGATATTAACAAAAAATTATTGATTAAATTCGAATTTAAAAGCTTTACGACGAAGTCAATTATCTTTGCCAATTAAACAAACTTTTTTATGGTATTTAATTTAAGGTCTTTGACTGTCAGGGTTTGGGAGATGTAGCATTTAGGGATAGCCATAGATTTGGGGGAGCTTTATCGTTTTGTGGATTTAGGGGTGGTTTGAAAATTTGAAAATGATGATCAATGATGGCTGCCCTGCAATTTTATCATGTTACAGGAGTAGTAGTAGTAGTTGGTAAAATAAAAGTGAGGTTTGGTTGGTTTGGCTATGGCAGTAGTAAGGATATCTGACCATATGGGGTAACCAGTTTGAATGAATTAAGTCTTTGGGTTCAGAGACAGATATTATCTCATTTCTGCATTTGTTATTGTTCCGTGGTTCACGTCTCTCCGCCAGTTATTTCAATCTTTCTGGTATTTACGAAGAATCTGATTTTTTATCTTAATAAGAATAATATGTATATTAAATTTTAAAAATAAAAAAATAAATATAATTTTAAATTTTTATTAGATACAAATATAAGTACAATAATATAATATTTATCTCGTATTTATATTTATATATAATTATATATTTAAAAAATAAAATTTTTATTTAATTAGAATTAATGTATTTTTATTTAAAATATATATTTATAAAAAATTACATAAATATCTAAAATTAAAAATTTAAAAATAATTTTTTTTTAATTATTATACAAAAATTATTTCATACTCATTAAATACCTATAATAATGGAGATTGTGATAAGTTAAAATATCATTGCATATGAATATATAAATAATATAATATAAAAATCTAAAAATAAAAATAACAAATACTCTACTTGTTAACATCTCCACTCTCCACAACTGAAAACCCAATTTCTATTGCTCTAAACAGGGAAGAATAAGGCATTAAAACAACAATTATAAAATTTAAACGAGATTAAAAAAATTATAAATATTAAAATTTAAACTTTATATTTATTAAAAATTATTTTTTAATATAATTATATAAATCAAACGAAATAAACTCCAAACTCAAAATTGTTAAAATTAAAATTTTAATGTATTTGACTTAATTTTTTAAATGAATTGATAGATCAAAAATATAAATGCTAAAGTTACAATAAAAAAAAAAAGTACCTGGCTAGCAAAGATGTAACAAAGTAAAACACTAAAGTTGCAAACAATTAAAGAAGCAGGTAGTCACACAGAAAACCATCATTTGACTTGGGTTGCATAACTTAGAATTTATTCTGTCAACATTAATTATTCATTGTCTCTTTTCTCTTTATTCATTCTCGCCTATCAATCGGGGAACCATAAAGGCTAAACCATTCTTTTTCTTTTCTTTTCTTTTTTTACTTAATTTTTTTTTTTTGCATCTTTTCATTTATCGAAAAAATAATTTTTTAATAAAGATTGATACAATTTTTTAGAATATATTTAAAAAATAAAAAAAATATTTAATACAAAACACTTAATAAGCGTTTGATCAACCTATGAAATTTAAATATTTTATCAACAGTTTATGAAATAATAATACAATTTATTTGTCCATTTCAAATAGAATTTGTTTTTAATGTAATAGTGTTTTATTTTTCAATATATTTTAAGAAGTTTGTGACAACTTTCTAATCCATTTGATGAAAATTTAAAAATAACAACTACAATAAAATACTTTTTCATTCGTATTAATTTAAATTATATTAATATAAAATGCCATGTCTCAAGGCTCAAACTCAACGCCCCTAAAATATAAAACAACAATGATTTAAAAGGAGAGAAAGGCCTCCGACGAGCCCAGCAACGTTACAACGATGAAGATAGGGATATTAATAGACTGAGTATGTTATGAATAGAATATTTTTATCTTTATTTTTAAATATTTATATTATATTTATTTTTTATTTATACTAAATAAATATTTTAAATTTATTTTTATTTTTATGAGTATTTAATAGGTATAAATAATACATTTTTGTTTTAAATTTTTTTAAAAAAATTTAAAAACAAAATGTATTTTTTAGGCTTTTTATTTATCTTATATATTTTAATAATTTTTTATAAACATATTAACATATATCTTTTCAATAAAAATACATTAATTCTAATTAATCTAAAATAATAATTTATATTATTTAATAAAAATTTTATTATTTAAATATATATACGAGTATAGATTATTGATAGACAAGTATATATGTTTATAAATAAATAAAGTCTTTATATGATTAAATATGAAAAAAAATGTAAAAAAATTATAAGATTATATGAGATAGATATCTTATAAGATTACTGAAAATTTATGTTTTATGGGTATGTATGTTTGTATGTTTGTGAGTGGAGTATAAAAAATTGAGATGGTTTACGTAGGTATAATGTATGGGATATATATATTATATGGGTATGTATTTATTTTTGTTGAGAATATTTTATAAGATTAAAAGAGATTGAAAAACTTTATGAGTATTGATTATAAATGTTTGATTTGATTATACGTTTATAATTTTTTACAAGTAGTAGATATTATTTTTCATTCGTATATATAAGTCAGTTAAATTAAATCATGATAAATTATTATTTTTTGATTAATTAATCGATTATTTAATTATGTTTTTACTTATGTAATTAGATTGAGATTTTTTATCTAACAAAAACATCATCTAAATCACTTCGACAATAGCCAACAAAACCCCAAAACTAACATGAATTTTATTGTAGTGTATAAACTTTTGTGGATCATTTTCACAAATACTCAGTTGAATAAGTTTTAAGTAGTATTGATGATGTCTTATATGAAAAAAAGAAATGCATCATAAGCTCTTTATTTTCATTTTACGTTATCCTTGCAACTGAATACTAAAATTATACTAAAAGTATTATTTTTCTTGTACAAACAAAACATGTGAATGGGTATTTATGTAAATTCACAACTTTTGTCACCACCTATAACAGCGTTGACGCACATTTTCCAATTTAATTTACCGTATTAATTTAAGGTTTTTTTTTTTTAATTTAAAAATAAATAAATTATTTAATACTCTAAATCAGGACAAGAAATCTAATAATAATATTCAAATTGATTTTAACAAAAAATTTATTATATAAATTCAAATTTAAAATTTTTACGTTGATACCAATGATTTTCGTCAATTAAATCAATTTTTTATGGTATTTAATTTAAGGTCTTTTGACTGTCAGGATTAGGGAGTTGTAGCATTTAGGATAGCTATGAATTTAGAGGCACTTTATCGTTTTGTGGATTTAGGGTTGGTTTGAAATTTTGAAAATGATGATCAATGATAGCTGCCCTGCAATTTTATCATGTTATAGTAGTAGTAGTAGCAGCAGCAGTTGGTAAAATAAAAGTGAGGTTTGGTTGGTTTGGTTATGGCAGTAGTAAGTATAAATGGCCATAAGGGGAAACCAGTTTGAATGAATCAAGTCTTTGGGCTCAGAGTCAAATATTACTATCTCATTCCTGCATTTGTTATATTCCATGGTTCACGTCTCCCCGCTAGTCATTTCAATCTTACTCACATTTACGAAGATTCTGATTTTTTATCTTAATAAGAATAAAATGTATATTAAATTTAAAAAATTAGGATAAAACTAATATAATTTTAAGTTTTTATCGAATATGAATGTAAATATAATAATATAATATTTGTTTTGTATTTATATTTATATTTAATTTATATATTTAGAAAATAAATTTTTTACTAAATAAGATAAAATTTTATTTTAATTAAAATTAATGCATTTTTATTTAAATATATATTTATAAAAAATTACATAAATGTATAAGATAAAAATTAAAAATTAATATTTTATTTTATTTTTTAAAAAATTATTATCACTGAATAAAGAAACGGAAGAACTTTCACTGTTAATTATTCATTGTCTCTTTTCTCTTTATTCATTCTGGCCTTTCATTCAGGGAACCATAAAAGGCTAAACCATTTTTTTTCTTGTTTTTTTTTACTTAAACCATTATTTTTCTTTGCATCTTTTCATTTATCTTAAAAATAATTATTTAATATATTAAAAAATATTTTATTTAAAAATAATACAAATTTTTTGAGGATATATTTAAAAAATAAAAAAATTTATTTAATAAAAAACACTTAATAAGCATTTGACCGATTTGTGAAATTTAAATATTTTATCAACAATTTATAAAATAATAATTCATTTTATTTGTCCATTTCAAATAGAATTTGTTTATATTATAATAAGTTTTTTTAATATATTTTAAGAAGTTGGTGACAACTCTCATCCATTGATGAAATTTAAAAAAAACACCTACAATGAAATACTTTTTCATTCGTATTAATATTAAATTATATTAATATAAAATGCCATGCCTAGGGCTCAAACTCAAAGCCCATTAAATATAATACAACATGACAATGATTTAAAAGGAGAGAAAGGCCTCCGACAAGCCCAGCAACGTTACAACGATGAAGGTAGGGACTTTTATCTTCATTTTTTAATTTTTATATTATATTTATCTCTGTAGTTATATCAAATAAATATTTAAATTTATCTTTATTTTTATGAGTATTTAATAAGTATGAATAATTTTTATATCCATAAATTTTTTAAAAATTTTAAAATAAAAAATTATTTTTTTTCACTTTTTAGTTATACTTATATATTTTAATATTTTTTATAAATATATTAATATATATCATTTCCAATAAAAATATATTAATTCTAATTAATCTAAAAATAATAATTTATTATTTAAGTAAAAAAATAATATTATTAAAATATATATGAGTAAAAATATAAAATGGATGTTATATTGTTTATCTCCATCTCGATAATTAATAAAAATTTAAAATCATATTTATTTACATTCTTGTACCTAAATATAATACTTATTTTTATCTTTATTCAGATAAAAAATTAAATTTTTAATAGATATAAATAAGATTATCATCCTTATGACAATCTAAGACAACAGAATTCAACGAAAACTTAACAAAATAAAAAACAACAATTCAAATCCCAATGAATTATCTCAAAATAACTAAGTTTCAAATAATTTAAATGTTTAATCCAAAATTTGAATTCAAAATTACTGAAACTCAAACAATTATTAGTAGTTTCAAATATACTTATTTAAACTATATAATATAAAATTTTGAGGATCATGTATTTTTAGAAGTATTTAATATTAGTGAGAGAACATGCATGATTTTGGATCCATGAAATTCTGAACTTGAATCAAATTCTTTTAAGGTGGGAGGATGTAATTACCTTAAAATTATTGTTTTTTTATTATTATAAAAATATTATATTATTTTATATTACTTTGGGTGTTTTATTTTGGTATCTTTTGGATGAATTTTGGTAAGAGGGAATATTTTGAACAATAAAACTCTTTCAGGGATCATAGTGTAATTTTCATACATTTTACTCCCATTATAAATACATTCTTTTCTGTCAACTCCGAAAAAATTAAAAATATAACTTCGGTACCCAAAAAGAAATTTTGAGATTCTTACAAAATTCAAAACATAATTTTAATTTTTAAAATTTTTTTGACAATCTTCCAATGGTCTTTTGGGAGCTTATTTGGTATTTATGGAAAGATCACTTCAAGATCTTTCTAATTATTTTGTAAGACTTAATTCGGTTATATATTTTAGGAGTTACTAATTTTTAAAATTTTTTGGCCAACTATTATTTTTTTAAGTTGAAAAAAATGAATATTCTATAATTTTTATATTAATTATTATTTTTTCTTTAATTTTTAAAAAATATTAAAAATATTATTTTTTCACCATGTTAGATCAACCGGTTAAACCAATTGAACTGATTAAATCGAAAACCAAACATCCAAGTATCCAACGCATTTTAATTTTCGATCTGTTTTTTAAAACATTGATTAAAACCCATATTTAAATATTTCAAAAAATCATAATAAAGATGAGAAAATGAAATAAATGAACTAATGACAAACCTATAAAATATGAGGTAAAATGAAAAAGACGATGAAAAGTTAGGATCAATGTGTTCAATGAAAACATTATATTAAAATTTTAAGATTGACATGCGACTTAAAATTAATTAATAATAAATATATATTTTTATATTTATATGCTCAAAATATTTTAACTTAAGTTTTAAAAAATTTCGGTTATAACCACTTCAATAGATGGATTTAACCCAGATTGATGACCTCTGGAAATCTAATAGTCCAAGATCAAGTATGGAGTATGTTGTAAATTATTTTCTTTATTTGTGGTTTTTTTTTTTATTATTATTTTGGTTCAAATCTTTTGTCTTCGTGTTAACTGGAGTTGTTGATATTAAAAAAAAAAAAAGAAAAAAGGATTGGATTGAATATGAATAATTAGGCAAATTTTTGTCGATTCTAATAATGTGATCACGAGAAAATAAAATTATTTTTTACAATTAAAATTTTAGTTAAATTAAGAATCCATTGGTCCTCATTCTTTGCATATAATACAAATAAAATATAAAATATAAAAATATTTTAAAAAATTTTATATATTTGCTAAAATTTCAAATAAATCTTTATCTTTTATTATATTCAATCGAACATTTAAAGTATTATTTATGTTTAATTAAGCTTTATGTTGTATGAAAAAATTTTAAAAAATAAGAGTTTAATTAAATAGAAATAATATTTTGAAGATTGAATTAAATAAAAATATTTAAAAAATAATTGAATACAACAAAAAGATATGGGTTTATCTAAAAACTTCAACAAATACGAGGATTTCTTTTAAAGTTCAAATAAATATATAAATAATAGAGAGGAAAAAGAGAAGGGAATAAAATTGAGCATCGAGAAATGGAGGAAACGGAGAAAGAATCGATAAGAGCAGCTTCTAAAGAGGTTTCTCATCAGTTCAAAACCCTAATCGATGCCGATGATTTGGACTCTCTTAAGCATTTGCAGCTCCTCATGTACTTTTCCCTTTTCTTTCTGCAAATTTTTTTCCTAGTTTCTTTTATTGTGATTACCGTGGTTGGATTTGAACTCGTTCATGTGTTCTCTTAAAACCAAAAAAAAAAAAAAGGAAGGATTTGCTTTACTTGTTTGCTATAATTACCTTGCAGAACTGGATTTCGCCAGAAGATGTTTGCTTCTTATTTCTATGCTTGTTTTATTGTTGGTGTATTTTGTTGCTCATAATAGATTTCTTCATTGAATTTGAAATGATAAAATAATCTTTTTGTGTTGAACAATTTCAAGAAACTTGAGATTAACATTTGTTGTTATCATTAGGTCAAACATTTATGATCTATTACTTGAAATTGATGTTATTCATTTGTTATCAGGTAGTAGTATATATTTGCAAGACCAGTTTGAATCTGAGGATCACAGAATTTGGAGATTATGATTATTGTTATTACATTAATTGGCATCGGCAGCCATTGGATAATGGATTATTTTGGTTCATAATTGCATTGTGTATATGGATAGGCTAACAGGGCACTATTGAAAAATTCAGGTCAATATTATTTCAAGCAGGTTAGCTGAGAAACAATGTGTATGTTGATCTTATTAAACGGTTGTCAACTATTCTTGGTCTTTTTTTTTTCTTTTTTTGTCCTTTTATAATGTTGATGCGGTTTAAGGCTTCATCAATAGAATATGTGGTGGAAAAATACTAATCTCCTTAAATGAGCTATTCTCTTTGTCAAGATGCTATTTTGATGCAGGAACCAGGTGTTCCCTGAATTGTACTATATATGAAAATGATATTAAAACAAACATAAGATTTTGATGTTTGCTATTGCAAACAAAAACATATGCGCACATAAACTTGCCTTTTATCTTGTATTTTTAGAGATGTTAGGTCAGATACCTCATGCCTATGTCCATGCATTACACCCATGCCCTTGTATACAGACGAGGGGAAACGGGTGTTGCATGGCATGTATCCAGAAAATCACTTAAAGATAGTCATGTATCAAGATGAGGCCACTTTATGTGGTTGTAGTGTACAGAAATATTTGTCCTGACAAAAAACAAGAGTCCCTCTACAATCTTGACTAAAAGGATCTATCTAGCTTAGCATACTGTACCAAAGTGATTATAAATTTACAATGGAATGCTGTTCAACCTCTCTTGTATATATTACTTTTTTGTCTTTTTCTTGATTGCATAAAGGTAGCTTGGATATGTGCAACAATCTTTATTCCTCTATTTTTAGATTTTTTTTTTTTAATTTTTTTTATGCCACTACTTGCAGATTGGGAAGATTGCAGGACAGCAATGCGGTCTTATCTCATTTTAATGAGTATTCAGAACATTGCTTTGCTGAGGTTTCTGGTGACTTTTCGAGAAATACACGCCTCTTAAAGTCTATGAAGTCAGACCTTGATTATATTTTTCAAAAGCTTAGGTATAATTGCCTTAATATTCTTGTTTTAAGTGATTACTTACAAGATTTTTATTAAATAAAAGTAATTTTCTTTTAACACTTTTCTGTGATGGCATTTAAATTGTAATATGTGTGAAGATTCTTGAGTTTATTCAGGTCTAATATGCAGTTTCCTTATCTAATTTACAAGACTATGGAGGTGTGGCAAATTACTGGTCATATTACACTAGTGCTGCCTTAATTTCTTATTGTTGTACCGTGCCAATATACTCTAGTTGCATAACTTGTATCCCAAGACTCATTTTCAGATGATAACTGCAAAACATGTGGCAGATTTGTATGTGCATCCGAAAGGGGTTGATTAACTGACCAACATTTGGAATACTCTCAACCAAATCTCTACAGACGACAGCATATTTATTCACTGCAACTTTTATTGACATAAAACCTCATGAAACCTATACGACAATTACTGGATATACTTTTAAAATTAATGGTGAAGAGAAATAGGGAATGGTGTTCGCTGCTGTAGTAGAAATGTAGCTAAAGGATCAGAAAATACATATCCATGCACTTTTAGGTTTTCTCTAACCTCTATTTGACAATGATAGGCATATATCCTGAAAGTTGCATTCGGGAAACTTCATGAATGCATTAAATGATTGTAATTTTAGAAATATGGTCTCTGCTTCAATTAGCAATGTTTGTAAGCAAGGATATGCAACTCAGTCCCCTTGTCATACACCTGCTCTGCCTGTATTTCTGTATGGATATACATACTTTTCTACATATTGCACTTTTTACCGACTTCTGGCTGCAATATGTGCTGGTCCTGAAAGTATCTCTTTCTCTGTACCACATATTTATATTTATTTTTTCTGCAGGAGTATGAAGGCAAAGATTATGGCTACCTATCCAGATGCATTTTCGGATGAATCAACAAAGGAAGTATTTGACCAAAGACCAGACCTAGAAGTGCCTCAATAGCTTTATTATTGGTCAAAAATGCCACATCACTTTGACTCTAACAGTGTTAGTCCCTGGGATAACTTGCCTTATGGAACTGAAGTTCAGGTACCGAATTGGGAATTTTTATTCTCTAGTATTTAATAATTAAGAAAAATGGTACAGTACGTTGGGCAAAAGTGTATTTAATCCAATCGAGAAAGCATGCTGTTTCTTTCACTAGTCTATTATGCATTTAAGCGTTATTTAGTTATGTGTGAGAAAACTGTCAGTACTATTTTGGTTGGTTTGGAGCATAGTCCTTTTGTCAACAATATCAGAACTATATATATAAATAAGGTTTAACTAAGTAAAACATCATCTCCTAGACTAGAGGCGACTTTTCAGCAGAAAATTTTAAAGTATGATATGTTTATGATTCGATACTGTTCATGAATGCATATAAGTAGAAGTGGCAATTTGGCTGGTTCGGGTCCGTCTTTCGTTGACTTTAGATTATTTTAGGTTCAAGTTAATTTCGGATTTAATTTTGTACGAGTCTTGGTTCACTTTCTTTCTTTTGCTGTTATTATCAAACGGAAATGATTTAGGCGCTCAACGCCAGCAAACCTTCCCCTCATGGTTCGAGTAACATTCATACCAGAACAGTGGTTGCCTTTGTATCGTATTTGTCGAGTATATATAGAACACAAAATAGCCTTGCTACAATATTCTTGTCTGTAGAAATCAATTAAAGAAGGAAGAGGATCATGGAAGGAAGGAGAGGGAGCGAGAGTGAGAAAGAGAAAGGCAAAAAAGTTGATGGGCTTCAGAGGCTTGGAAGTGTCATTATAATAACTCTAATCGACTTGGTTGACAAGATCCATGCAGCAATTACTTAAGATGACATCTTCGGTATAGGTCAGCCAATGAGTGGATCTTTTGTTTCCCTTCTTTGCTCTTTGAGATGATTAACCCTCCATCTAAATGTTAACTAAATGTAATAATAAAAGAAAAATATAATAACAAAGAGAATAGATGGAGGGTTGATCATCTCAAAAAGAGGGGATATAATACCTTTAGTGGATTTATTGAATATGAAAATGGAAGATTCTTTGAGCTGTTAATAGATTACGTTATTTAATTTACTCGCAACTTAATATACATTTAATTTCATATAATACCTTAACGTAATGTATGATGCATAAGATAATAGATAAAATAAGATAATAATTATCTTATATTATGTTTGATTTATATCTAATTAAATGAAATAGGATTACAATGAGGATTATTATCTTCTTAATATAAAATGATTTAATGTTTTCAAAGTGGAAAGGATTATGTTTAATTTATGGCATTAAATTTATATGTTTTATTATATATTTAAAAATTACATAAATAATTTAAATCGTATAAACTTTGAGGAAAGATAATTTTGATCAATAAATAATTTATTATAATTTTTACACACATCAATCACAATAGCATTATTTAATCTAATCATATTCATAATATCTTTTTATTTATTTTATCATAATTTTGTCTACCAAATACATACTAAAGTTATGTTTGGTGCATAAGATGATGGATAAAATAAGATGATAATCATCTCATATTATATTTGATTTATATCTAAAAAAAGAGATGATTATAAAGATGAGTAATCATCTTTTTGGTACAGGATGATTAAATCTTCTTTAAGTGAAAAAGATTATTCTGTATGTGGGTTCGGAAGGGAAGGCAGTGAAAAAGATTATTTTTAATTCATAACATTGAACTCACATGTCCTATCATACTTTTAAAATTTATATTAATAATTTAAATTATATAAATTTTAAAGAAAGATAATTGTCTAATAAATAAATTATCCTATATTAACTTTTGCATACATCAAATACAAGATAAAATAATATTATTTAATTTAATTTTATTCATAATATCATCTTATATTATCTTATCATAATCTTATATGGTTTAGGTACACATGACCTTTGGTGTATAGGTTAAATGATAGGATATGATGATAATCATCTTATATAATTTTTTGTTTGTATCTAAAGAAATGAATAGAATTGTAAAGAAAATTATTCTCTTGAATTATAAGATGATTTAATCCTTTCAAAGTGAATAGGATTATTTTTAATTCATAGAATTGAATTTACATATTTTATTATATCCTTAAAAATTAATTAATAATTTAAATTATATTAACTTTGTAAAAAGATAATTTTGATTGATAAATATATTATATTATTTTAATCATTACACATATCAAATACAAGATAAAATTATATCATTTAATTTAATCATATTTATAATATCATCTTATTCTATTCTATCATAATCTTGTGTATTAAATACATAATCTATTGAAAAATAATTTATATAATAGCCTAAATATATTGAGAAATAATATTTTTAATATGTTGCCATTAAATTATATAATAAAAATATAAACATTAGTAAATATAAAATATTATATATTACATAAATATTTGGTCGGATCAAATTTGAATTTTGAATGTTAAAATTAAGGCTTAACTCATCTTTTAAATGGATCTTATATTTTTGTTAAAATTTATTTAATAGATTTAATAATTTTTACTCAAATTCTCTCAGATAACATATGAATTTTTGGATTTTAAAGGATGAGGACATGCATTAAGTGCAATACTAATTTAAAGTGTACCTCTTCAATTTTTATAACACTTGAACGTATAAAGTAGGAAATAAAATAAATCAGTTCTAAATTTTAGTGTTATTTAAAAAAGTAAAAATTTAATTTGAAAAAATAAATGATTTATATAATTTTAAAATATATCAGCAAAGGCGTTGTAATTGGATTGGAATCTCAACAGTATCCCTCGGATTGAATTTAAAGCAACCTCCAAATGACCAAATTGCCCTTCAATTTTGAGCCAAAGCTCATGTTCAATTCTAGAACAAACCTTTAATCACAATTTATAGGTAAAAGTTTCACAGTTCTTTGATGAATGTTATACACGTGAAAGAAAATAATAATTTTATTTAAAAAATACTGTACAGAGATATTTATTAAATTTTAATGATCATTTCAATATAAATTCATTAGTTTGAAAAATGAATTACCCGTCTCAAACTATACATGATAAGTAAATCTTTTTGTAATTCCATAAAATATCTGATTTAAAGATCAATTTACTCTTAAAATTTTAATATTATCAAATACTCACTTGAAATAATATTTATAATAATAAAAATATTGTTATTTTTTAAATAAATCAAATCTATTGTTAATAAAAAAAAGATTTTTTAGATGTATTATATAAAAACAAAATTTACAATTATAAGTATATTAATATATAAATATATTTATAATAAAATAAATAAATTAACATGTAATACTAGTTTAATACGTAACAATTTAAAAAATATATATATAGCATGAAGAAAATGATTAAAAAATTATAATTGAATATTTGTCAATTCAATTTTAGTTATTATAATACTTATATATATGTTAGCCGTTAAACTTAAACATACATGTTTGTAAAAATATAGTGATGATAAATTTATTAATTTTAAATTAAAAATAATTTACAATAAGTAAATACAACTTAAAGAGTTAAATATAGATAATTTGTTACTATATATTCAATGGATATATAGAATAAAATTTTAAAAAAAAAAAAAAAAAAAAAACGTATAAATACAATAAATTTAGGTTTGAGGGGTAGTTTTTTAATTGCATAAATTATGTTAACAGAGTTAAAAAATTTGAGGTGGATTGTATACTTTTCAAACTAATAGACTGTGTTGAATTATACTAAAAACTAGAAGATCTTGATGAAATTTACCAAATATAAAAAAAGAAAGCTAAATATTCAATTTAGAATTTAATTTTTTCAAAATTTTTTAATTAAAAATATTATTTTTAATTTGGTTCAATATAAAACAAAACAAGCGCATAAAATAAAGTGAAACAAATTATGCCTTTGGTTGGAGAAAAAAAAGGTATAATTTTGTGTTTTTAATATAAAAGTAAAATTATTTATTTTGAAAACAAAGTTTAAATATAAAACATAATTGTTTTTTTAATATAAAAAATGCAAAAACTTGGAATATTTTAACATGAAAAATTTGTCATTTTTGTTCTTTTAAAAGCTAAACATTACATCCCGATGATCAAAGAACAGAAAAGGCAATATTTTTCAAATTTTGAAGCTTTGATCAAAAAGATAAAATAGGCATTTTCAAAATTTCAATTAATTAATAAGAAAGAAAATTTTTTAAAAATTAATCTATCAACCCATCATTTCTTTCACCTTTTCTCAACATCCAAACACCCAAAATTTACCAAAAAACTTAAAAAAAAAAAAAAAAAACTTCAAATCCAAAAATGAAAGTTTTTTATTGTTTAAAAATTTGAAGTAATTTGAAGTAATTAAGTTTTTTATGATAAAAAAGGATTTTAATGGTAAAATTTAAGCGATAATGAATTTGATGGCACTGAATTACACAGCGGTGATAAAGTTTTATTTCGAATGAAATTGAAAATGCTTAATATTAAATTAAACTAAATTTAAAATAATACCCTTAATTATGTATTTGGTTGAAGGGAAAACAAGGATAATTTTATATTTTTAATAGAAAAGTGAAATTATTTAGTTCAAAAACAAAGATTAAATATAAAAAATAATTGTATTTTTAACATAAAAAACGCAAAAACTTAAAATATTTTAACATGAAAAATTAGACATAATCAAAAGATAATTCAAATTTTCAATTAATTAATATAAAAGAAAATAAAAAATTTACCAAAAAACTAAAAAAGAACTTCAAATCCAAAAATGAAAGTGTATTACGAAATTAATCTTATTAAAGAATCAAACTTAAAATATATATATATATATATATAAATGCTCAATTTTTTTTTTAGAGAGAATGAGATTTTGAAAAACCTTTTAAAATCTCTAAATTCTGAAAAAAAAAAAAAAAAAACTTTTGTCGTATTCGTCTTTTACAAACATTACAAATTACACACAAAAACCAAAAAAATCAGATTTACCAAAACCCAAAGCTACTATAATCACATCACAAAAAGTCCACTGCTATTTATCAACAGGAAATCGCAAAGCGCACCTCAGATTCATCCGCTTCGACACAATTATATAAAAAATTTGTGAATAAAAAAATAAAAATTTAGGAGAATAAAAGATGAGATTGATCAATATTTACTCTTTAAGAAACAAGAAATCAAGATCAAGATCTAGATTAGATTGATCTGAAAATTACAAAAGCGCGCAACCAAAATAAAGCATAAAGGAAGAAGGTAAGAGAAAATAGTAAGACGAGGAAGCATCGACGGCCAAAAGAGATATCTTTTCGATCCTCAGGCAGCAAATTTGGTAAGTATTGATCTTATTAATTAGTGAAGAAGCATAAGTTTTTGGATACCTTTATTTTATTGTTTAAAAAATTTGAAGTAATTAAGTTTTATCTGGTTAAAAAAGATTTTAACGGTAAAATTTAACGGATGTTGAACTTGATGACAATGAATAACACTGCCGTGATAAAATTTTATTTTGAATCAAATTGAAAATGTTTAATATTAAATTAAACTAAATTCAAAATAATACCCTTAATTAAAGAAACTTGCAAATATTAGATCAGTCCAAAAAAAAAAAAAAACCAATCATGTAACATTCTTTACCTCTTCTTTGCTTCTCTCCACCTATATATATATTATATGTTTTCCTTTGCTTCCTGCTAAATCCTTGTACACTTACTATCCTATGCGTCGGAGCACGCCTTAGAATGCCTTAGAATACAAATCTAGAACAAAAAACACGAGTTACATCACTTGTTTTGTAAGCCGAAGGGTAAAGGGTAAAGAAAAGATGAGGAGAATGACCAGAGTTAAGAAGGCATTCACAAGAATTCATTTCTATAATCAACAATTTGACATTCATGGGAAATGACAATTATATTAACTCGTTCTTGCACTATAATTTGGCATACAATGTGCCTGCTTGCCTGCCATTTCCTGAATCACTAGCCGAACCTAGACAACAGATTAAATATTGGATTTGCATGGGTGGTAAAAAAGAATCACTAACTCTGATCGACAACAATGCCCAATTAACGAGGTACAGAAGGCTGTATGTGAAAACAACAGCCTGGTCAACCAAGCAGTGCCTATCCCCATCAGATCAATGTCGCCACAGAATGAGTTAGCTCAACTAAACCAATTCTTCGGAATTTACATTAGTTTTCTGTTTTCTTGGCTGCATCTTCAACATCTTTGGTATTCTCAGGGGTAGACTCAGTTCCTGAAGCTGTACTCACATTGTCTTTACCAGACTCTGATGGCTCGGGGGGGTTTAAACCAAGATTTTCATTTGTTGATTGAGATGTCTCCAAGGTGGTGTCACTTGTATTGTCAGAGGATGACGGAGATGGTTCAGTAGCACCATCTGGGTCATGATCACTGCCTTTATCCTCCAGTTTCAATTGCAGTTCACCGTTTAGGACAATAGCAGATTCGTCAGAACCAGATGCTACATGGGAATCTGGGGTCTCTCTCCATTCAACCCAAGCAGGTGGTTTATCATTTGCACTGGGTCCAGCTTCTTTGGAGTCTTCAGACAAGTCAGCAGAGTTATCTTCTAATTTTGCATCGGGCACCTGAGAAGATGTTGCCGTATCATCTAAGTCATCATCATCACCAACAACAATCTCATCATCTTCACCATCACCATCCACAACGCCAGTTCCCTCAGTATTAGCCGATGCAGAAGCCAGAGCACCAGTTGAACGTTCATTGGAAACTCTATCATCTTCAAAAGCAAACCAGTTGGAATTTGTAAAAAGAGAACCACTGCAGGCAAAAACGAAAATGTCTGCCGATTAGGTAAAGCAATTGAGTTTAACACAAAATAAAATATTCAAAATGTTCAACAAAGTGACTAAATTCTAATTCCCACCAGTTAGTTCAAAAGAAGATTTCAACCTACCTTTCTTGGTCATCTCCTAGGCGCAGAGAAGATATTACAACCTCAGCAGATTCATCATCAAAGTAAACATCCTGAAAAGTAAAACAGCATTAGACATTTTCAATCATTCACAAAAACTCTCTAAACCCAAAGAAGGGACAGGCAAAACACGCTTTCAAAGGATAAACGGAAAAGTAACAAAAAAAATAAAAGCTAGGGAGAGTGGATGTTCTTGATGATAAAAGATGGGGATCCTTTTTTGTAGACCATAAATAACAGAGTGCAAAATCATTAGCCAGAACTTACAATTTCACACTAAAATGAGAGGAAAAAAAGGACAAAGAGGAAGAGTCCTCAGAACAAGTTTTAGCAAACTTTTCCTACATAATTATTCAAAAGACACACTGTCCAACTACTAAATTTAAATTTGAGACCATGACACATAAGATATACCTCATCATCTCGTTCATGTGAGCCAGGTACCTGAAACATATGAAAAAGATATCAGTAGATGAAAAAACATTCCACATTTTAAATCAGAGAGTACTAATTTAACAACAGAATGAAGACATAAAGACAAACAATGAAATGATAACATATCTCATCCAGTAAGATTTACGATAAGAATACAGAGAAGTAAAAATTTAAGACATTACAGTAAAAGAGCTAAAAAGTTTGATTTGGGAAAAAGAATACAGAGATATTGCAGACACAATAACTAAAATGAGAATAGCATGGAAAACCACAATAACTGCACAAACAGCTTAGCAAAAATCATTGAGACACTTTAAAGCCAAAGGTTAAGGCAGAATCAAGAATAAGTCAATGAAGCCAATCAAATAGTATTGAGTGTAGTTTTAATATAACACATCACTATTTCTTGCATAACTACAAATTATTGCAAATGAGGTCTCGTGTGGTTGCAGTATAAAATAATGTAGAATAATTGATTATTTCAGAAATATAATTTTCTGTTTTTTATGTTCATTCTCTTGGTCTTGGTATTCAATAAGTAGAGAAATACAACTCAAATATAGCTGGATCAGTACGAAAGTTCTAGAAAGCACCTCATCCATATCATCATTACTGTAAATGCCATATCGAAATGCCTGGCTTAAGTTATTTGCCAAGGCTGCAACATCATAATCCCTATCTTGGTAATCATCATCATCACTATCTCTAGTCCGGTCTTGTAGTGCAGTTGGCCTCCTGTTAAATTGATGAAACCATATTAAAGTAACTCAGAGAGAAAAGGTCATAAATATCATATCAAAAAAAAGGGTCAGCAGGCAGCAGCAACTTCTAATCATTTCCCTTGTCTGTGTTTCAATTTTTTGCTTGCTAATAAACAATTCAAGTAGCTAAAGTTCATTCAAAATCATTCATGTTCTTCAGCTTGGTGATTGGTTAGAAAAGAAGGACCGAAGCATTCAATGATAAAAATGACATACCCACAAGCCCACTGGTAAACATTTTCTGTAGCATTACGCTTTGATAGGACATTTGTCTGCCAATCAATCCATTCACTATGTTCCTGTCAACAGAAAACAAATTAAGAACACAACTCTTGGAAAGGTAAATAAAAAAAATTAACTTAAAAGGTTTTGCTTCTGACAGCAATGGGCAGAAACTTTACCCCTGGGAACTACCAATGATTAGAACTTGGAAATCTCATGGTTCAAAGCTTGGGAGTAAGAGTGGAGTTAATGACATGGGAGAAGGCTACCTCCCATTATTACTCCAGACAAAAGGATAGTCTCAAAATACAGAGTCCAAAATGCAAACATCCAGAAAAAAATGATAAATTTTGACATGACATTATAATTTTGAAAGTTTTAAAACAACGATGTAATAGTTAAATTTATCAATAAAGAAAAAAGAGTTACCATGTGTATTTTAACACACTCCCTCAGTCCCAAATATTATAGTCCACTCTGAAAAAGCTCAAATATTAAGAAAATACATTAAATGCACTCAAAAGAATTAATCATATTTCAGATTCTCATTTCTTTGTCCTTAGTTGATAAAAAGTTCTTAACCTAAATGTTGTTCATAGTATCATACTACATGCAACTTTTACTTAATGGATAATTTTTATGCAACATCCCAAATGGAAATGCAAACTTATTATTGGATAGACCAAATGTTAGATATCAGTCAATTGTAGAAATTTAGCTCTACTTCGGATTCTCTAATCAGAAAATATTCAAGTTCAATTTAGTGTTGCAACTTGCAATACAACACAGAACACTGACGAGTATTAAAAAATGCAATGAGGACTGCTTGAGATTTAAAACCTGCAGATATGCTTGAATTTCACCATTGCTATTTCCAATTTGAACAAGTTTGTTAGATATATGTGTCAAGTGTCCAATATTTCCTATCTTTGGCGGAACTCTACCTTCGGCACTAACTGTTGGCTGCAGGAGATTGGAACAAAGGAAACATCAAGCACCAATTCAGCATTAAAATAGAGAAAGGGAGCGTTAAGCGTTAGTAAGTCCAAACATTTGGAAAAACTGGAATAAAATATATGCCACAGAAATGCCCTTTGAGTACTAGATCCAAGTAAAGTTTAACAGGATAACTACCATATTTAGATCAGAAGCTAACGTGCAATTCTTTTCGGCTTCAAGAATTTTTCCCAGAAGGTTACATTCACGAAGAAGATGTTCAACAAGTGGAACATTTTTGCTCTCTAAACATGACAATATTATGTTCTCCACATGGTGATGCAAGAAATTGTTATATGGGTACCTGCAAAAGGAATCAACTAAGGGAAGGAGAAATAGGATATAATCAGCAATTATATCATTGCAAAACAGGAACCTTAAACTTACTCAAAGAACAACTTCAAAATCCTTTGCACAGCACCCAGTTGAATCAATTCCTTTTCAGCAGCATCACTACCAACTGTCAGCAAGACAGAAATAAACTCTACAATCTGGAAAATCACGTCAAATTATAAATAATCCCGTCAGTTTTTCTGGGTGTGCAATTGATGATCCATATAAAAGGACCATTTAAATAGTGGCCTGGTATAGAAATTAAGTTCAACCATCAGCTATAGCTGACTCATGAAGGAACCAAAATGAAGACACTCAATCCTCAAAATGAACAAAGGGTACTTTTAAAAACACAGAAATACCTTCAACCGATGTTTTCCAAGAGGTGGCTGTAATTTTCCATACGTTGTTAACAAGGTTGACTCTGAAGATGAAACATCCAAAAGCTTCAGTAAATCACCTGCAGCATGGTAACCTGATTTTTAAGTTCTCCCGTGGGATAACATTGATGTTTAAGTTTAGCCAAAATGAATTGCTTAAGCATCTGTTGTGAGCTGTGAAACACAGACAAGTCAGAATCCCCAAAACACCAGCATTGTATCAGTGTCCGACATGGATATGCATCTGACACAATAGAATGTGCATATGACACAAGAGGGACACACCAAAATTTTTTTAAAAAAATTAGGATACAGTCGACATAACAGAAATGGGTGGACATGGCGTTGAAAAGAACAATAAATTGTAGGCTCTTTTCATTGGAAAGAGAGGCTATGGATTAGACTAACTTCAACTACATGCAATACAACTATAACAATACAATAAAAAAAATCTATATAAATTTCATAAGATATGAGAGACTTTTTATGGCAAATTACCAATTTTTTTATTTAAAATTAATGAAACATATATATTTTTTATTGTCATATCCCGCCATATTGTGTCCTAACTTTTTTTAAAAATTGTCATACTGCCATGTCCATATTGTATTATACCTAGTACTGCGTTTGTTTCAATGCTTCCAAAGTCATGATACAAGAGCTGGAAGTTGACACTCTTTCTTGGTTTCCTTTTATTTAAATATTTTGATCTATAGAAGTAGTTGCAAATGCTTGAAAAGAGTAATTATAGGGGGCATATATAATAATAAGAATCATATGCTATGAAAGAAAACCCCTATAACATCTTCAACTAATTCATTTTCCAATTCTGAATGAGGTTATTCTGCAAATGGATTTGCTATGAAGCTAATAGTAAACCAGAAGAGATAACTTCACCTAAACTCTCCAGCATTCCTTCAACTGTCTCAGGGTTAGCAGCTATCATTGATCCTTGAGGGACTTGGCGGTTGTACGTGTGATATACACCCAATGTTAGCCTCTTAGGATCTAACAAAGATATGCCGATAGACAAGGAATTGACCAGAACAGATTTTGGTCTTGAGTCTTCCAAAGCATGACGAAATAATCTTCCAATGAAACTTCATGACAACACCCCAAAAAAAAAAAAAACCCAAGTTAAATGATTGATAAGTCAGAGCACACTTTTGGCACATTTATAAGCAACATGAGAAAATATACTTTGGGCTTGTAATTTTTGCAGCGAGACCAGGAGGGGCAAATCGCGTTATTGCACACAAGGTTTCAGCTGCATTGGCATGCACCTCAGCAGAATCCTGTAAAAAACATTGGAACATTTTTCAATGAAAACTCTACCATATTTCAACACCAATAAATGAAATGACACCTTAATCACATGCCCTTAATGATCATAAGTCAGTGATACTCTTCATTGGTCAGGAAACATCTATGTAGACATCATTGCAAGACACTTGACAAAGAATCAGCACATAATCTCCATCATTACTAAATTGGCAAACACTAATTCCACTAGCGGAAAAGAATTTGATTGAATGGTGCAGAGTCAGCACTCGTGCATTAAAGAATGAAATACAACATTGTTCTAATCAAGGTACAAGAGAACAGCAGTAGAATTGGGTTTAGAGAAAGCGAAGGGTTGGTTCAGGAGATAACGGCAAATATGTATTGGCGAACAAGGTTTCTAAACAGCACTTTCTATCTAGGGTAATTTAATTTGTCTTCCATGTTACCTTTCCCTTTTAACTTTATCTCTTTTTATTTTGTTTCATTTCCAACTTATTCTAGTGCTGATCCTACTTCAGAAACCCCTCTGTGAACAATAAAATCAAAAGGAGAAAAAAAGAAAGCCCCCAAAGGTTGACCTTTTTGACCAACCTCTGCCAAAGGATGGCTGTCCACCATCACCAATACCAATTCTCTTCCTATAAATACCCCCAACAAAGAGAGGAAAAGGAGAGGACAAAAGTAGAATATAAATATTTCCATATCCTGCTAATTTCTCGCAAACTGAGGGACCCTAAGCAAACATTATAGAGAAAGAATCTAAAAACACTTAGGAGAGAGGAGAGAGAAGGAAGCACTTCAGAGTGAGGAGGAGAATTTGAATTATGGGAATGAAAGAAAGGTGGCATACACTAAACAAAAAGAATACAACTTTTAAAAGATTAAAAATAAGAAAGAGAATTTGAAAGGGTGGTTGGGTGCTCTAGGACTTAGAACAAGGTAGGTTCCACAAAACCAATTCAGAGTCTAGTCTAGTTTTATTTTTGGAATGAAAATCACTTAAAAAGAAATATTAAAAATCCTCCAACAATGAATTTCTAAAGAAAATTACGGACAATTTTTTTGAAGAATTCTTGATGTAATGAGAATTTTACAAGCTCCACCAAAGTATTGGGAGAGTCCCAAAATATCTTACAATACATAGATTGAATGGAAATCATGATTGAAAGAGTAAATGATAAAAAGTAAAAATAAAAATTCTGCAGTAGAAAAATATTGAGCATCACTGAGTAACAAAATGATAAAAATAATGGCATGGGAATTGAAATATAAAAGTTCATAGCAAAACATGATTAAAACCAATTAAACAAAAAGGAAAAGTGGGACATTTTGAGCTAGTAGTTTTTTTTTCTTTTTGCAAATATATAAAAGCATATGGTGATAAAAATCTCCCTAATGTCGAAATTGTCAGAATTCTTGTAGTGACAAAATTCTAGAAAATTCTCAATGTTAGAAAAACTTTGCCAACCCACCAAAGTAAGAGTTGGAGCCAAAGAATCAAAAGATGAAATGAAAATACAAATGAAAACAGTAAGGGTAAATCATAGAGCATAAATATAAAATGAAAGTAATTGAATAACAAATCTTAGCTAAACATGATGAACTCCAAGTAAAAGAAAAGGAAAGAAGGAAATTTATAAAAAAAAATCCCTGCAATACCAAAATTGTATGAAGTCTTGCAGTAACAATATTCTTGAAAATACTCAAGGAAAAGTTTGCCGACTGCACCAAAGTGTTAGGTTGGTCCCAAAGAGTCCTTGTTACAAAAATTAGTTGAATAGATATATGTATATATGGAGGGCCCAAAAAGTTAAAGGCACTTACTGAGGAGCTGAACTTGTCCAAAATCATGTCCAATACATCTGTATCCTCTATCCATTTCATTAACTCCATGGAGTTAGTGTACATATGCTCATCAGCACCAATCAGTCGTATTAAAACCTGTTTAACAAGGAATGACTCTCATAAGCAAACCAAAAACCTCTCAGCAGGATAGTGAGTGGCAATCTAGGATCACGAGTTTATTTATCATCACAAGCTACTGAAAATATTTCGATAACATGAAAATCTTTGGTGGACAAACCAAATGCACAAGTAATCTCATCAAATGAGCAAAAAGAATAGAAAGATTAAAAAATTCCTCAAGCTTTTGAGAGGTTCATATATGGTAAATAACAAACAAAGATAAACAAACACCAACCTCCATTATGGAAGTTATGCCAATCAGGTCAACTAGCTGCTTGATAATTTCTTGATGACCCTGCACAGCATCATAAAGGCAATAAATCAGATCAATAATATAGAGGTAACTTTAAAGCCAATTCAAAGACAACAGCTTTAAACCCTATACAAAGCATTACATGCAACAATAAGCATCCACAACTGCAACAGAGCCACACAGATGATTCTAGATAGAAAAGTTTAGCATGCAGTTCATATTCAACAGGTATCACAGACTCCAGAGATACACATCAGATTCATCCAGATTCCAAAGAATTCAACCACATAAGCAACCCCAAGTCCTTGTTATATTGACAAGCACCACACATCTTAGTCCTTGTTATATTGACAAATATTCATATAAAGATGCATCAAAATGTAATGCCGCTTGTTGCAGCCATTTTATGCTGCTAGCAAGAGGAAAAACAAAGACATTAATGTTATATGAAGCATGCAATGCAAAACAATCTGAAGCTACGGCCACTAGGAAGTTTGTTGCAGCTTCGTTACAAGAATTTACAAAGACCACTGGGAATTTTGTAGCTTCCACAATGCAACACAATCTGAAATTTTAGATCTTCCAAAACCGAAAAAAAAAAATCCAATCAAAATGTTAAATGACTCTGTAAAGAAAGAGGAAATTACACCTAGAAATGAAATTCTAGACAGAATCAGCTAGCTGACTACCAATTAAAATGATCCACTACTTTCTACAATGCCTAATTAACTTAGAACTCTAAACAAATCAGCTAAAAACAAATGGAAAGTATACCCCCACAGTAACCCTTTTTGAGATAGGTGGTTTTCTAGATTTCAGTTTCTGTCCAAACCAAATCTATCTACATTCTAAGAAACTTAGGTTCAGAGAGAGAAGTGCTAAAGGAGAGATTCAATCTCCATACAAAAAGTCCAACTAAGGTGCAGACATGTAAAGCAATTCAACACATTGCCATCCAAATTAGCAAGTTGATATATAAAACCCTCTTCCCACAGAGGAAACATGCATCTTTTTTAGGCCCAACCATGGATTTCCCACCAATCTGGAACACACAACAGAGGAAACAGCCGGCAATACTTAAACAACCATTGAAAAAGGCTCAACACTTTAGCAGATCTTTAACTGCTCAAATAAGATAAGAGAAGAAAACCAGATCAGAGATGAAACCTCCCCTCAAAACAGAGGCACAACCAAATTAAATAGGTAGATGGACCAAATTGCAAAGCATATCACAGCGTCCAAATTATAACATTACCATTAGTTTAAAATTGAATTATATTTTGCAGGCAAATATAAAATTTCAATTTCATTCTTAGAATACTGTATTGCCATCATATAATAGTAAAGTAAAATAATATTCCCACACACACCATGTAATACCACCAAGAAACCATCATTCCAGTTTTGACAACATAAATACTACAAGAAATTCCTCAATCAAGTTGAAAAGAATCATAAACATACCTTAACATACTGCAAGAATGGCAATGTCTTCCGCAACAGCAGGCATATGACAACCTAGCAGGAAAAAGTTAACTAAATATGAAACATGGATAACAAGATATTCAAAGTCCCATATATTTTTAAACATAATAAATGAAATAAAATGAAATACACGACATCTACAATGTTAAAGATGTGAATATTTCAATAGCTCAAACAAAACACCTTGCTGAAGTAACCCGCCAGCGGTGTGCTATGGGAGTGATTTGAATCCAAAAAGGAAAATAACAAATTCATTAACTGCAAACAAGAAAGCACCAAATGATTTAGAAACTGACATTAATAAAGAAAACTACAACTGCAAAAACAAGGGGAATAAACGAGTCAACTTCTTACTTCCTCATCTTCTACCAACGTTTTTAGTATGATATCAACCTCACATGTAAAAATCTCACATGCAATAAAAGGAATCCTACAATCACACAAATCAAGCATCATAAAACATTATGTATACAGTAATATCAAGGGAGTGGGGGCACAAACCCATCTATTAAAACTATTAAACCTACTTAAAAGTTCGCCTCTTGTCAGCATCCTCTGGAGGTTCTACCACAATATATCGAAGAAGTTGTTCAACCTGAGCCTTCTCCCGCAAGCTACAAAAGAGAATAAAATATGACTGTAAAAAACCAATGAAGCAAAAAACATAGAAATAGTCATTGACTTACAAACAATTTTCAAAGTGCAGCTTAAATTGAGCAAATATCCAACCCTGCAACAATTCAAGCCATCAACATCCTTCGACGGGGTCCCAACTAAGGTTACTCTCTTTGATAGGGAAGCAATGCGAGAAAAGGCAAACTTTTGCCTAATAGATGCTTTTGTGCAAGAAAGATGCCAAGTCGACTCATCATCTCTCAAAACTTGACCATGGGCAAGGAAACTTTGGTGAATGGCTTAGGCAATGCTAGGTAGCACTTGGATCGTTGCCAGTTAATTGAAAAGGAGTTGCAGGCTTGTAAGGGTTCACATTCTTGGAAAGGCAGTAAGATAGCTATAGCTTTGAACTTTGATCCCTGATCCAAGTACAACGCATTGGACACTTTGTTTTACACTTTTACTTGTGGTTTCATAGGCAGTAAATGTTAGAAACACAGGATGCTCTAGATATTATTGATCTCTTCTTAGCATCCCCTTTGTGTCCTTTAATTTGTTTGGTTCATCTTCTAAAAAAACCGAAGGCAAAAAGCCAGATCTATCTATCAACACCTTTGGTACACTAGTAAGCAAAAAACAAAACACAACCCTCCACACTACACAATCTATTCAAAGCATTTATTCTAGATAGATGGTTACTTGGATAGCAATACTGCCAGAGGCTATGGTACATATATTAGATACATTACACTTTGTTCTCCAGTTATTAATAGGCAAAGAATTAGTTAAGAAATCTAAAGTAATTCTTACATGATATAAGTAATGATAAAGAAAATGTTTTTTTTCCAAAGTGATCCAGCACAACTTCATATAAACAAAGAACTAAACTGAGTATCAACACTGAAAGTTTTGTATAATTTAGCAAAAGATCTTCATCAATCTTGAACTGATTTTTTTCCAATGTAGCTTTCTTGACTTTCTACATAATTAACAGCATTTTACATTATACTTCACCACGCTTCTACATTTGTTCTTTGCCTCCCATTTTGAACTCCTTTTATGTTAATTAGAAGCTATAATCTCTTGGCTCTCATTAACCATGTAGGCATGGGTATCCATAGATTTAATGAATTCAAATTCATTTTTAAAGACAAGCATAAAAAATGATCCCAAAATATATAAAAGGTGAATGCATTTATATATACCTTGCCATACATATATGACTATTAATCATTTCATAATCATCTATTGCCCCTCTTTAGATTATTCAAGTGAAATGTAAAGTCAAAATTTTATAAGCGTTTCAGAAGCCTTTGCCAAAGGCTTTAACATTTAAAGCCAAGACCTATGATCAAACATTAACACATTGTCTCACTAATAACAAAATCATGCATCGTGATTAGAGTAAAAAATACACTATATAAGCACATTAGAGCCCATATATTATCTAATAGAAACATGATGGTATAGAACAATTTAATGTGCTATGAAATGAAAGAACAAAGAAAGCAAGCATATGTAGAGACGAGGAACTGTACAAGTTTATAAGCCGCCCATTAAGGGCTTTGCATTCCTGAATAATTTCATCCTCATCAAGAAGCTCCTCCAGTGTAAAATTTTCCTTATCTAAAACTGTCTCAACCTGCATTTAATCATAAAAACGAAAATTGTCAAAAGAAAACAAAAATGAAGAACAAAAGCCATACTTTCCAAAGAATACACAGACAGAAAATAGTACACATACATGTTGACTGTAAACTAACAAGTATGGCCTTGGCCCTTGATTATCACTTCCTTCCACAATGGGGCTTATTGGGGAATAGAATAAGGGTAAGACAAAATTATTGAGGAATAGAATAAGGGTTTAACTTAAAAGATAAACGGTTATTACAGGAATGTCATCTTAGGCTTCTAGAGAAAGCATAGCAAATGGGCCAAAGTCGTAAACATTTCAGCTAATTCTTTTCTGCTTTAAGTAACAAGATAATGCACGGTTAAGAAGATTTTCCTCCAGAATCTCACCTACTTGAGAGGAAAAAAATATAGGATCCGACTATTTCTGCCTCCTTGCCCATCTAAAATATACTAATGTATAACCGTTGGGAACAAAAACAAAATATTTCCCTCTAATCCTCTCCTCCAACGTCCTCCTCTATAAAGGCGGTTGCAATGCTTTAAACATTGATGCCAAAGTACAAACACTGAATTTCACATTTGAAAAAACGCCCATTGATTCAAAAGAAAACAAAGGTACTCATTTTATCCCGTAGCAAATGCCGCCTGATTTATATACTTGATTTAAATGGAACTCTCGACCGAGTTGAAAAACTCCAGAGAAAACGACCCATACTCTATATTGTAACATTGTTCAAACAAAGAGGCAATACCAAAGCCTTTCAACCATTTCCAGACGTTGAAACACAATATTTCAAGCCCTTATTTCTGTTTGTTGCATTTTATGAGCAGCAAAACAGAAATTTCACAAGCATGAAACCCCAGAATTCAATCAAATTCACAAGAAATGGCATACACATATGCATAGTATAGATCAAAAACAATAAAATGAGCAGGCGAAACTCACAGGAGACGCAGTGGACAATCCGGCCATACGCCAAAACATCTTTGCGAAATTTTAACAACGAAATCGCTTCCAAAAAAAGAACCCAGATCTGATCCAGATAAAAAAAAAAAAAAAACCCTAGGAGTCGGCGAATTTAAACAAAGAAAACAAAAACATCCGCCGCAGCGGAAACCCTAGCAGTCTGAACCGTACGGATTCGAAAGGAAAACTCAAGAAAAAAAGGGGATTTTTCTGGGATTGGATCGAGCCGATGGATTAGCGTAGGGTCGAGAGAAGAAAACCAAAAAGCAACCCGTAATCGCGGGATTGTTTGGGGAAACTGAAAGTAAAATAAAATTAATATATGCATTATTTATTGCTCACTTAAATTGTTATATTTTTGTTTTTTATTTCTTTTTTCTTTTACACTTTAAAGTCTGAAATATCAAATATATTATGAATATTAGGTAAAAAAAATCGAAAATTGATATATTTTGGTTCAATTTGAAATTTTACTTTATTTAATTTAAATTAATTTAAATATTAAATATATATTTTATTTAAATTGAATTTTAAATGAAAAAATGAAAAATTGTAAAAAAATTAAATCAAATAAAAAAATGTATTTTTATTAGTTTTTATATATTTTTTAATTTAATTAAATAAAAATAATTATTTTATATTTAAATTTATTTAAATATATTAAAAATTATATTAAAATAATACATACAAATTTAAAAAATTACTAAAACAAATCGAACCCGAATGATATAATTTAATTTGATTCTATTTAAATAGTATGAAAAATCAATTTCAATTTAAATTAAATTTTAAATTTTATAATTTTATATATTATTTAAAAATTTTAAATCAAATTTAATTAAATCCAAATTAGTATCAAACTGAATGAGAGTTGATATTTTGATATTTTAAATAGGGAGATTTTATTTAATTATTTATACTCATATTTTTAGTGGTGAATAAAAAAATTTGCACCCAATCGGTCGATCAAATTCATTAAATCAAAAACTGATAGCACGTTCGATCCAATAACATATATTAAACCAGATTTTTATCAAATCCGTTAAAAATCATATTAAACTGTTAATTAAATCAAATATAAGATTAAATAGCTAATTAAACAAATCTATATTTATATTATTGTTTATTATTCAAAATTTATTTATAAATAGTAAAATAACCTTTAATCTCTCAATTTCATAATAAAATTAAAAACCAATAGACTACATAATTCAGTTAAATGCATTTTTATTAATTATTTATTATATTTAATATTAAAATCTATAACTATCTATAAAAATTATCCCTAATTTTATATTATCAACTCACCTTAGCAATGTCTTAAAATAAAAATTCATGAATAATTTTGAAATAAAACAAATCTAGAATGTTCATTTATACCTTGTCAAAGTCTTCTTATCTCTTTTCAATTCTTGCGTATGGGTATTTTCCGATAATGAATTGACTTTTAAAAAATGTCAAAATCAAAATTTGTTTTATAATATATATGTTAAGATCCTTTTACATTGAATTGATTTTTAGATTTATGTGTTAAATAATATTACATTTACTATCATTTTTATAAATTATTTAAGTAAAAAATAGTTTAACTAAAATAACAATATTTATTATAAAAAATAGTAATCAAATTCTAAAACTTAAAATCTAAATCCTTTTAGAAAATTGTATTCAATATTTGAACTACTCATGTATTCATTATTTTTCATAATAGAATTGAGAAAATTCAACAAGAATCACCTCTAATTTTTTTTTAAATGCAGTAATAGAAGTAAAAAGAAGAAGGCTTGATAAAAAAAAAAAACTATTAATCAAACAAATTAAGAAAAACAAAGATAGAAATTCAAGCAAAAAATGACAAATAAATAAGTATAAAAATTAATTTAACAAATTTTATAGGTGTTAAAGATCAAGATACTATTAAAATTCATACAAAAAATATTTATACGAGTAAATTATAATGCATATTATCTAACTATTAAAATTGATTTTTTAAAAAAAATAAAATTTATTTTAAAATTATGTAAACTTACAGATATATAAAAATAATTGCACAAGATAAAAATGACACAAATTAAAAAAATTAATTTAAAATAATAAAATTTTTAGTTTTTTATTTAATATTTTGTTCGTGTACTAAATAATAATATTTATATATAAATTTTTTAGATATTTTAATTTTTCTCAAATAGTATTATATGTTTTGAGATTTTATATTTTTAATTAAAATTAAAATTTTATTATATTTTAGTATTTTAATTATATTATTATTATTATTATCAATAATTTACTTATATATTAAATATTTAAATAATTAAATAATATTAATTTATTTATATTTTACAGTAACTTTCATACTTACGGTGTTGGCCAACTCAATCCAAATATTTTGCTTTCAGTTTGACGTATTATTTTTTGCTTTCAGTTTGACGTAGTCTTTCTCATTCTGGAAGTAATATCAGATTTTAGTTGCCCGTCCAAATAAAAAAAAAATTTACTCCTGCCTAGATTAAACTATTATCCCATCATTTGCTTTGTATTTTTCTTAGTTACTTAATTGATTAAACTAAATTTCCTCCTGCAGTTTTTAATTAATTATTACATGAACACTTTGACTTCAAAATTTTCATCTTTTTTTTTTTTTGGGTATAACCGATTTTGCATATGCATTTGATACGTTATCATGCGGAAATGAAAGTCATCAATAATGTTAAAAAAAAATTTTGTTGGAATTCATCAGGAGTATCCATCAGCAGTTTTGCATCCTCATGCATCAATAAGCTTGTGTTTTTCTGTAATATAATTTTCCTAAAAATAATTATGGAAGTTTGTAATATAATTAAGGATGATCAAGATTGACATATGGGTAAACGAATATACTATTTGATAATACTTTGCATATTTTTAATAAATAAAAAATTAAATAGTCAATGCTATTAAATTAAATCTAAATTTTTAGGCGAAAATAATAATTAAAATAAAAAAGATATTTTTGATAATTATAATAAAAAAATGAAATCAATAGAAAATAAAAAAATAATGTGAAACAATATAAGTTATCTTATAATTAATTTTGTAGAAAATTTAAATCCTACTACAAATTAAATTACAGAATTAATATTATCATAACTTGAGTTTTATTTTTTGAAATCTTAATTAGCTCCATTCCATTAAAAATTCTCTCTTTCCAAAAAAATAGAAAAAAGAAAAACAAAGAAAAATAAAAAAATGAGTATGTTTTCTCATTTTTTACACAGGAATGTCTCGTTAAACATATGAAAAAAGAAAGATAAAAAAAAAAAAAGTTAATTTTTGAAACCAACCACACTAGTTTAAAGACTTAGGACCTATTTGGATAGGATTAATTCTAATAATATATAAAAATAATGATAAAAATGAGATTAATTATTATAATGATAAAATTAAAATTAATGATAAAATATATATTTGGATGTAAAAATAACAATAACGGTGAAATGAAAATTAAAAATTATCATTAAAAATATTAAAGTAAAAATTATATTAACAAAAATTTTAAATTATTTAATAATTATAAAATTAATTATAATTTTATTAATTTATTATATAATAAATAAAACATATTTATTATAATAAATTAATAAAATTATTTTATACTTCAAATAAAAAATTAAAAAATTAAAGTACAAGGATATTTCTATCTTTATAATACAAAATGAAGGATGAAAAAGGAAAAAAAAAAAAAGTCCAATGCGTTTTTTTAACTAAAACTAAATCTTTCAATGAAGAAAAGCAGCTTTCATGTCCAAATTGATGTTAAATATCAACGAGCATAAATTTTATTGACAATTGCACCTCCAATCAACGTAAATATTGTTGACCACAATATTTTTAACAACTCCACCTCCAGTGCGCATAACTTTGTTGACCTAGAGGTGCAGTCGAAAGAAAATGAAGTCTAAAGTTAAAAACTAGCCGAATCGATATGTAAAAGACTGGCTAGAAGGCCCCACGAGTGACTCTAACAAAGTGACATGTAAAATAAAACGCCCCATGTGAGACGCTAGCAAAGTGATATGTAAAACACAACCCGTGTGGGACTTATTTATTTGAAATTAAGTTTTTATAATTTAATTCTTTTACAGTATTTTTGCCTTTTTTTTTTTTTCTGTAAACGAGGCATAAGTAGTAAAAGCAAAAAAGCAAATTCTTTTACTTTTGAAATTAATGGAATTGACGCTTTTTCATTAAAAAGCTTTTTACAACAAATTTTTAAAATAATTATTTAATATTTAATATTATTACTTAAAATTTAAAATTATTTCATTTTAGTTTTTATTAACATAATTTTACATTAAATGTAAATTTAAAATAAATATAAAAATTAATTTAACAAATTTATAAGTGTTAAAGATTAAAATACTATTAAAACTCATGTAAAAAATATTTATATGAGTTATCATACATATTATTTAAATATTTAAAATTATTATTTTTTAAATAAATAAAATTTATCTTAAAATTATGTAAACTTACAGATAAACAAAAATAATTGCACAAGATGAAAATGACATAAATTGAAAAAATTAATTTAAAGTGATGAAATTTTTAGTTTTTAATGTAATATTTTCTTTATGTACTAAATAATACTATTTATATATAAAATTTTTGGATATTTTATTTTTTTCTCACATATTATTATATGTTTTGAGATTTTTAATTTTTAATTAAAATTTTAATTTTATTATATTTTAATTATATTATTATTAATTTACATGTATATTAAATATTTAAATAATTAAATAATATTAATATATATATTTTTAAAAAAGTAACTTCCGTATGTACGTACGGTGTTGACCAAGTCAATCCAAATCTTGTGCTAAAAACACAGACTTCTTTTCCTTTCAGTTTGACATATTCTTTCTTATTCTGGAAGAAACATCAGATTTTATCCAAATAAAAAATTATTTAGACATAAATAGTGAAATTTAGACAGAAAAAAGAGTTAACATAAAATAACAATATTTATTATAAAAATAGTAATCAAATTCAAAAAATTAAAATCTAAAACCTTTTAAAAATTTGTATTCAATATTTGAAATACTCACTATATTCATTAATTTTTGAGAAAATTCAACATGAATCACCTCTATTTATTTTAATTGCAGTAAAATACCAATCATGACTGGTCGGCGACCTATTTAGCATGGTGCAGAGCGGACGACTATCAGATATGGAGAACAAAAGCAATATCCTGGTAACTATCTAGCCTACATTTAAATACCAAAAATGCTCATAGTAGTATAATACATTGCTCAAAACATAGGGGATGGAGGGGCAGCAGGATGTGCAAATTAAAAGATGTCCACCAATTT